CTTCCTTCCTTCCTTCCTTCCTTCCTTCCTTCCTTCCTTCCTTCCTTCCTTCCTTCTTCAACAAACAGCTATTGCATGTCCTTGATGAGTCAGGCACTGTTCCTAATTCTGAGATTACAAAGTTGAGCAAGAGGAGCACTTTGACTGCAAATCTTCAAAATTTATTATAAAAGTGGATACAAGCTCAGCGACCATAGTACAGTAGTTGGGGCGCCAGCCATATACACCAAGCCTCGAGGGTTCAAACCGGCCCAGGCCTACTAAACAACAATGACAATGGCAACAAAAAATAGCCGGGTGTGTGGTGGGTGCCTGCAGTTCCAGCTGCTTGGGACCCTGAGGCAAGAGAATTGCTGAAGCCCAAGAGTTTGAGGTTGCTGTGAGCTGTGATGCCACGACACTCTATCCAGGGCAATATAGTGAAACTCTGTCTCAGAAATAAAATAAAATAAAATAAAATAAATATAAAAGTGGATATAATTTTTTGTTGATATCTCTCCTCAAAAAAGTATTGTCCAGCTGATTTTATTGATGACTTAGAAATACTATATGTTGAAAAGTCCCTCATGCCTTAGCGTCATTTTGCTTGTTTTGACTTTTCTGATACTTTTGAATCATGACTTAGGTTTCCCTATCAGACTGATGGATGGAGAAACTAAGAAAGAAGGACGAGTGGAGGTTTTTATTAATGGCCAGTGGGGAACAATCTGTGACGATGGGTGGACTGATAAGGATGCAGCGGTGATCTGTCGACAGCTTGGCTATAAGTAAGCAAAGCTTAACTATTTGGGATCATTACTGGTGACCATTTCTGGTTGTCTAATGCTTGTTTGAATGAGTTACCTCTTACCTAAAATTATTAATAGTTTCTATCATTCAGTTTCTGGTACTGGAAGCATGTTGTCTTGATTCAGAATTATAACAAAGTAATAGGTGGAGTCTATTCCAGTTTTTCTAGCTTCTCACAAAAGACTTACGCTACGTAAGAAATGTACCTTTTTATATAATAACAAAACAGTCTAATTATTCTGAATACTGCTTCTATCAGCCAAAGGCATTAACCTTTTCTCTGTGATTTATGTTTCAACACTGCAGTGAAGGGATTCTAGAGTTATTGAAATTACCTTTGGTTCTCATTATTCATGTTAATTACACTCTGTAAAATTGCTGTTAACACTGAATTAGCAACTACTAAGCCATTGCTCCTAAGGTGAGGTCACCGTTCTGCTTTGTTTCAGCTCTCATATTTGTAAACACTTGCCTTTTTGTTTTTAATCTACTTATTGCTATTTTCTTTTTCTTTGGCATTTATGTGCTTTTTTGGTTGATAATTTCATTGTTTAGAAAGGCCCCACATGTAGTACTATGCTACGATGTGCTATGCAAAAAGTACATTTGCTGTGTAATGTTCTTAAAATGCAAAAATGCTGTGATGGGACTTAGAGAAGATGTGTGTGTCAGGTAAGCTTTATTCAGGCTTGAGTTACAGCAGGGAAAATGTGGCACTAGATAGTGTGTGAAAAGGACACTTGTTCACAGCGTGAGAGCTGAAACAGAAGGCAAATCCTCTCCTGTCAGAGCTCAGCTGGGCGGTTCAAACTTTTCCTGGCTCTGTGTATGTTACGAATGACCATGAAAGCCCTCTAAGTATTGATTTTTTTTTGTTTTTGTTTTCTTAAGTATTGATTTTGAAATTACAAAAATACTGAAAATATTATAATTTAGTGGGTTCTGATGTTTAAACTAATCTATCTAAATTGCTTAGCCCCTGTACGCACTGCTAGTAGAGGTTTGGATTTAAAAACACATCTTTAATTACATGTGCATCTTAAATATTGATCAATTCATTTGGTTATTTCTATATAGTATACATGTTTATTTTTTAAAGTATTTCTTTGCCAATAACAGTTCAAGTTTTTTTTTTCTTTTTTGCTAAACTTTTAATAAAATTCTGTTTTTAGTTACTTAGATATTATTTCAATTTACTACTCAGTTTTGGGCCTCATTACAGTTCCAGTTGTCTTATGGTCAATGAGTGCTTTATTTGTGATACAAATTTTTAGTTTTCATAATATGGAGTAGTAGAGGAAGGTGGAAAGAGTCTATATTACGTGACTGGGTAAATTTAGTCAATAATTTATTTTAAATTTCCTTAGCTTGCTATGTGTCTATCACTCTTTTCTCCATTTGAAAAAAAAAATTAGTATTCTTGTTCCTGCATTTTTTCACTCCAGAGCAGCCATTGCTCTTTAAGACTTGTTTCTTGGCCATACTCATATTTTATTGTTTTGGGGGAGGGGATCCAAGAAACCCAGTATATTACCTTTGGAAATATAAAGGGCAGGATTATCATCAATTTTGATCCTTACATTGCATATCTCAGCCAAGTTTAAGGAGCAAAAGAGTTTAAAGCATGTTCATCAATATATTATTATTACTTTGATTTCTTCCTACATCTTTTATTGCTCTTTATCTTCATTTAGTTGGTTTAAAATTCAACTCAAAAGTGAATTTAGGCTCATGTTAGGGTGGCTGTCATCAAAAACACAAAGGATGGCAGGTGTTGCCAAGAATGTGGAGAAGTCAGAACCCTTATACACGGTGGGATGTAGAATGGTGCAGCCACTGAGGAAAACAGTTCCTTAAAAAAATTAAAAATTGAACTAGCTTATGGCCCAGAAATCCCACTTTTGGATATATAGACAAAAGAGTTAAATTAGGATCGCTAAGAAATATCTGCACCCCCACATTCATTGCAGAATTATTTACAATAGCCAAAATAAGAAAGCAATTGAAATGTTTATGGATAAGTGAATGGATCAAGAAAAAAAAAAATATGAACATATATACACACACGATGAAGTGTTATTTCGCTTGATGGAAGAAAGAAATCTTTTTATACGTTAACAACATGGATGAACCTGGAAGCTATTAGGCTAAGTGAATAAGCCAGTCACAACAACAGAAATACTTATGAATGGTTATACTTACGTGAGGTATCTAAAACAGTCAAACTCATGTTAGCGTAAAATAAAATAGTGGTTGCTAGGGATTGGAGCAAAAGAAACATAGCGAATAATTTTTCAATAGGTATCAAGTTTCTATTGTGCGAGATGAGTAAGTTCTAGAGATCTGCTGTATAACATACTGCCTATAGTTAGCAATGTGGTGTTGTGCTCCTTAAAATATGTTAAGGGAATAGATCTCGTGTTGTTTTCTTCCCAAAACCAAATCACAACAAACACAATAAAAACAAAGACAAAACAAACAAAAATCCTCACAAAAGAGCAAACAAATTTTCGGAGGTGATGGATCTGTTTAGCACCTTTGTTGTTTTGGGGGGATATTTTTGGAGGTGATGGATCTGTTTACCACCTTGGTCGTTTTGGGGGATCCACACAGTGTCACAGGTAGGTAGGTGCATATGTCCATACTCAGAAAGATTTGTTTATATTAATCATCCTCAGTAAACCTTTAAAAAGTGAATTTAGTTGGGAAATAAAATATAGATTAAGTGACCAAAGTTTGTAGTCATTTACAATCATATTTCTGTAACAATTATCAAGAAAAGCATTAAAAGATTTTTCTTTGTAATTTTATTTTAAATAAAATATCTTGACAAGTAATTCAGTGATTTAATGGCACTATAACAAATTGAATAACCCATCTTTTAGTCAGTATGTACACAATCTACAATTTGCCATTAAATAATATTTAAATGAAAGTAATTTAAATATTGGATTATATTTGAATATTTTTATAATTTCCCAATGATGAGAAACAGGATGTCATGTACGAACATATACAAAGATTGCCAAAAAAAGCATATATGTTTTAAGAAAGGAAAAAACTATACTAAAATTGTAATACTCAAGTTATATTTGACTTTTGCAATTGCAAGAGACACCAGATACAGTATACAAGATACCAAATGTTACCAGTAAATATTATTACAATTTTAATATAGTTTTTTATTTCTTAAAATGTGTATATATATTTTTGACACCGTCTAATATTGTATATTAAATATATAATATTTAATTGTGAATGGAGATCTTTTTCTCCAAGTCTATTTTGAACCCTAAAAAATTTTTAATAAAGAATTTATTGGTAGGCTCATGCCTGTAATCTTAGCACTCTGGAAGGCCAATGCTGGAGGATTGCTTGAGCTTAGGCTTTTGAGACCAGCCTGTGGAATAGTGATACTCCATCTCTACCAAAAACCAAATTAGCCAGGTGCTGTGGTGGATGTCTGTAGTTTGAGCTACTCAAGAGGTTTGAGGCAGGAGGATGGCTTTAACCCAGGAGTTTGAGGTTGCTGGGAGCTAGCCTGATGCCACAGTCTGGGCAACAGAGTGAGATTCTGTCTCCAAAAAAAAAGGTAACCCAGAGAACTTTTAAGTTGTTGAAAGGCTTGTGTCTTACAAATAGATGCTCCAGAGCTCTGTCCCCCAGGCAGTTATATCATGCTTGAGAATCAGTCCTTGGATTGGAAACATGGAAACGTCCTCAGAATCACTGAAAACCAAAATAACCTTAGAAAGCATTTTCATAATGGAGAAAACAGAAATGAGGCAATAAAACCCAGGAAACGTGAATGGTAACTAATGTGGATATGCTTAGATTGAACAGAAAAGTAAAAGGCATTATTTAATGAGTATTACATAGCGTCTGACAAAGTTAGCATATAAACATATTGTTATGTAGAATACAGAATGTGTTGAGATCAGTTAAACCCATTGGCCATGATGGAAATTCCATTCTGTTTGCACTTTGTGCTAATCTATTAACATGTGTTCAATACGACAGTATTCTTGAGCATACTTATTAAAGCAGCATTTCTTAAAGTAATTTTTAAAACGGTGTACGCCCATTGTTTTAATGGAGATCTAAAATTAAACATATCTGATTTCTCTTATATTTTAAATAGCCGCAAAGGATTTAATTTCTGTCATATTTGCTTATGACATTTAAAGATAAAACAGTTACATCACTTTTTACATTATACCCAATGAAATTTAAATATGGTGATTTGGGCCTGGCCTGGTGGCTCATGCCTGTAATCCTAGCACTCTGGGAGGCTGAGGTGGGTGGATTGTCTGAGCTTAGGAGTTCAAGACCAGCCTGAGCCCGAGTGAGACCTCGTCTCTAAAAACTAGCCATCTCTAAAAACAAGCTGGGCCTTGTGGGGAGCGCCTGTTGTCCCAGCTACTTGGGAGGCTGAGGCAAGAGAATCACTTGAGCCCAAAAGTTTAAGGTTGCTGTGAGCTGTGATGCAACAACACTCTCCAGAGGGTGACAAAGTGAGCCTCTGTCTCAAAAAAATATGGTGATTTGATTCTGTGTCATCCATTTAAAAAATACGTGAACAATAAATATATACATACACACATATTCTGTTCTCTCAGAGAGAATCACCAAAAAATATTTCTTTAGCCTATAGAAATTTTGCATAGTTTCCTTTTCTCATTAAAATTACATTTAAAATTTTCTTCTCCCATAGAATCCTAATGTTATTATGCCTTAAAAAAATTTTTTTTTTGCAGTTTTTAGCCAGGCTTGGGGTTTGAATTTACCACCTTTGGTATTTGGGGCCAGTGCCCTACTCACTGAGCCCCAGGCACTGCCCTGCCTTAAAAATGTTTGTATGTCTATACGCACATACATACATATACATATATACACATACTAGTGCATATATACATATTTACACACATAAATAACATGGAGAAAGATAAATTACTCTAACATGTTCCAAGTTCTCCTCTAGATTTTACAATATCTAGTATACAACTGATATATAAACAAAAAACATAATTTGTTAAAAAATTATTACATATAGAAAATTAAGGTTTACCAAAGCTCTAATTTTGTAATTGGACCAATGGGTTGGGTTTGTGCTATTTTGATTAAGGAAGCAAGCTTCATTGCTGTCATATATTTTGAGTTGTTCATTTGGAATTAAAAAAAATAAAAAATAAAACTTCTCATAATTTTGATGACATATATGAGGCTCTTATGCTGTGGTTTTTCAGAATAGGAAAGATTCTGAAATATTTTCCCATTGTTTTTCTTTGTCTTTAACTGGGAAATATACAACCAAAAAAGACTGTAAAACATATCTATCATTTAAAAATAGCCATGAAACAAATATACATCATCCTTGGCCACATGGTCAGATGTGGAGGGTGTAGCCATGCGAATGGCATCCCCAGAGGTGTGCAGTGTAGAGCCCGCAGGGCTGTAGGAGACAGCGCTGTCCCTCCCTCTGAGCTTAGGAAATATCGTATTGCTCCTCATGTGCCAATCCCACCCTCCTTACTCCGTCACCTCGAAGTAACTTTCATAACCAGGCCATTAATTTATCAGAAATTGCGTTTTAAATGTAGTGTTAGTTTGAGATATCTTAGTTCATTACCAAGTTTCTATATTTGCATATTTAAACACTAATGTATCATTAAAATAAAAAGCATAATAAACCAGAATCAGTCTGCCTTCTAGTCATGATTCCTGGTTTTCTTTTTCTCTGTTAAAAATTATACATTTTTCTTTTAAAGGAGGCAAAAAATTAGTTGTTAGGTCCTGAGATAACTATTTAATTTATTGCCCATTTTCTTGGGCAATATTATACCAGTTTTAAGAAAGTATTGCACTATTTAAGAAAACAGAAAAATTTGACGGTCTTTTCCCCTGGTTAAATGAGACTTTAAAACTACTGTGATTTTTTGATGTGCCAGTAAAGGACTTTTTTCGCTGTGGGGTACCTTCAACAAAGAAGGTATAGTTGTTACCTCATATTTAAGTTTTGTTTTTTATTTTGGCATTCCTGAAATAAATGGTGTTTAGCACATGCAGATGTTAACTCTAATATGTAAAAATAAAAAAAACCTCTAATATGTAAAATTGAGGAAAGAAATTGATTATGAGCATATGTTGTGATTTATTCAGCTGTATGCTCGACTGACTCTCCAGAGCCCTAAGAATGCTCTGTTTTCAGGGGTCCAGCCAGAGCAAGAAGCATGGCTTATTTTGGGGAAGGAAAAGGACCTATCCACGTGGACAATGTGAAGTGCACAGGAAATGAGAGGTCCTTGGCTGACTGTATCAAGCAGGACATCGGAAGACACAACTGCCGCCACAGTGAAGATGCAGGAGTTATTTGTGATTATTTTGGCAAGAAAGCATCAGGTAACAGTAATAAAGGTAAGCCGCCTTCTGGGGCCCTAACCAAGTCAAACAACACTAATCCACACCTCGTTACTTCAAGTAGTATTTTGATAACAAAAATTCTGAGCAACAAGAATGTAGGTAGTCAGTCTCTTGTTCTGAGCTAGGGGTTCTTGGCAAACTTGCCTAAGTGGGACTTACAGAGAGAACAGTAGGAGAGGATTTACAGACCCTTGTAATCTCTGGCATCATCCCCTTTTTACATTCTTAGCTATTTTTGTATTTCCTTCTTTGGATAAAATAAAGCTGTCCTGCTTGTTTCTATTCTTGAAGATCCAGAATTGATTATTAATATAGAGAGGAATCCAACAATGTCACTTATTTGCTTTTTTCCCCCCACATTTCAGAATAATCTTTTATTTTTGGTCCTTGACCTCTTCCTCACCTTTTTTATTTATCGTACTGTATTGCATTGTGCTGTTTTTATTATATCATATTATGCTGTATTTTTGTTTTATTTCATTTCATTTTCCTTCTCCTTTCATTTCATTTTGTCAGGGTTCCTCTCTCTGTTGCCCAGGCTGGAGTGCAGTGGTGTGATCATAGCTCACTGCAACCTCCAACTCCTGGGTTTAAGTGATCCTTTCACCTCAGCCTCCCGAGTAACTGGCACTACAGGTGGGCACCACCATGCCCTGCTAATTTTTTCTTTTAAATTTTTTTGCAGAGATGGAGTCTCTCTATGTTGCCCACGTTGGTCAGAAACTCCTGGCCTCAAGTGATTTGCCCACCTCAGCCTCTCAAGAGACTGAGAAATAGGCATAAGCCATTGTGCTTGGCCTACTCTAATATTTTAAACAAAAGGGCTAATATTTAAAATTAATTTTAAAAAAATTTTTATTTTTATTCTCTGACATTTAAAAATTTGAGAAAAATGAGATGTAATATTTTAGTATACAGTAAGAAAAATGAGATGTAATATTTTAGTATGCAGTAAATATGTTTCATACTTTTAAGCAGAGTTTCTGAAACCTCTGGGTATATTTAATTTTTAGGAAATGAATACTTTTTTTTTAGATGAACGAATGAGAGAATTAGCTATTTTGGAGAAATCTGTGGTTATAGTTTATGAGAAGAATAATTATCTCTTTGTATTAAAAGTGAATCATTTTGATATATTGGCTTTTGTTAAGACCAGGTGCATCTACATTTGAATATTCTCCTTTTCTAATACCTTTAAATAACTGCCAAAGACAAGATAAGTGATGAATTGGATTTTTGTTTACCTTAAAATTTTTTTTTCTTTTAACTCTTTCGAGCCTTATGGGTGGGGTTAATATGATTTTTCACTATCTGAGGGGCTTGTGAGTGTAGAAAGAACACTGACAATCCCTTGTACTTTTTTCTTTTTTATTTACATACATATGCAGGTATATATGTGAATAGTTATATGAATTGATAAGCTAGTTTTCCTTGAATGCTGATTCTAAGTTAATTTCTTCAATTCTCTTTAGTAATTTAAACTATAGTTACAAATTGAATGTAACTGATTCTTTGAATTATGTCAAAGTCCATAAGTATTTGTAAAATATAAAAATTCAGTAACCATAATGTATTTTACTTCATTTCTATGTAAACCTATTCTACAATATGAGATACTGTTTTTTTCTTTATTATTTGTGTGTTTGTTTTTATGCCTTCCTAGAGTTGTGGCAATACTTCCTTTGTTGATACCTTTCCACGATTTGCAATGTTGCCATACCACAAATACAAAGATTTTATCATAGACTCTCCAGATTACAGAATCTGATTTATTAACCAACTGATTTCGCATTGACCCTTAGAACCTATGACTTCTATAAGGCGATTCAAACTCAAGTCATTGGTTGTTTGGTCACCTGGTGGTTTCCTTTTATACATGAACTTCATTTTGCTTTTTATTTATTTTTTTTGTAACAGTGTATGGCTTTGAATAGATTTTACTTTCTTGAAATCTGGTGCTTTGCCCCAGAATGATGTAAACTTTTAAGTTTTGCTTGCTCAGTATTACATCATTCCTTTCCTTGGCATCATATGCATTAACCCAACTTGGAGCATTATTGGAAACTTATGTTTTTTCCAATACCCTATAAGATGCAGTGTCATTTAAAGGACTTGTATTCTAAAAGATGGAGTTAAAATTTGACAGCATGCCGCTGAGATCATTTTGCAAATTAATCATCTTGGTACACATTGTTGAAACTCTTTGTCCATCAAGAAATAACCACTGCTAATTTCCTATGGGTTTCCCTTCTACCTCATTATTATGGGAGACCATTAGTGCTGATTAGGTCAGCATGTTCTTGGCAAAATTTTCACCCTTCTGTCCTTATACAAATAGAAAAATAGTACATATCTGCACTTGATACACATATACTTAACCAAAGAAGCAAAGTACCTCCATATAAATTCTCCTACTTTCTAAAAGTATTTTAAACATCAATCACATCCGTTATATTCACCCTTCTTTTATAATCACCTTTTTTTCTTTTCTTTTTTGAGACAGAGTCTCAAGCTGTCCCCCTGGGTAGAGTGCTGCTGTAGCGTCACAGCTCACAGCAACCTCCAACTCCTGGGCTTAAGCAATTCTCTTGCCTCAGCCTCCCAAGTAGCTGGGACTATAGGCACCCACCACAATACCTGGCTATTTTTTGGTTGTAGCTGTCATTGTTTTTTGGCAGGCCTGGGCTGGATTCGAACCCACCAGCTCTGGTGTACATGGCTGGTGCCTTAGCCGCTTGAGCTACAGGCACTGAGCCTATACATCACCTTTTGTGCAGATTTTTTTTTTCATCACTCACTTGTCCCACCCCATCCTCCTTAAGCAATCACTGATCTTTCTGTCTCTATGGATTTGACTGTTCTGGACATTTCTTACAAATGGAATCATATGTGGTCTTTGCTACCAGCTTCTTTTACTTAGCATAATACATGTCTAAGTTTCATGATATGGTAGCATGAATCAGTACTTTATTCCCTTTTAAGGGTCAATAATAATCCTTTGTCTGGGTATACTTACATTATAGTTTTACCCTTTGTCTTTTTCTTTTCATTAAATCATAGCCATATACATTAATGCAATTATGGGGTATAGTGTGCTGGTTTTATATACAGTTTGAAATACTTCCATCAAATTGGTTAACATAGCCTTTGACCCATTTTCTTAGTTACTATGTTAAGACATTTATATTTTACACTTAGTAGATTTAACTGGTACCCTTGTAAAATGCACCATAGGTGTGGTCCCACCAATTAGCCCCCCTCCACCCATCCTCCCCGCTCTCCTCCCCACCCTCTCCTCTTTCCCCTTCTTCTTGGGCTGTAGTTGGGTTATAGCATTCATATGAAAGTGTGGGTGTTTATAAATTGGTATCATAGTAAGGCTGAGTACATGGGATACTTTTTCTTCCATTCTTGAGATACTTTGCTAAGAAGAATATGTTCCAGCTCCCTCCATGTAAACAAAAGAGGTAAAGGCTCCATCTTTCTTTAAGGCTGCATAATATTCCATGGTGTACATCTACCACAGTTTATTAATCCATTCATGGGTTGTTGGGCACTTGGGCTTCTTCCATGACTTAGCAATTATGAATTGGGGTGCAATAAACCTTCTGGTGCAAATATCTTTGTTATAAAGTGATTTTTGGTCTTCTGGATATATACCTAGTAGCGGAATTGAAGGATTGAATGGTAGGTCTATTTTTAGATCCCTAAGTGATCTCCAAACATCTTTCCAAAAGGAACATAATAAGTTTGCATTCCCACCGGCAGTGCTGAAGTGTTCCCTTTTCACCTTTTATGCAGTTTTAATTTAACTCTTCTTTTCTGTCTGTTTTTGACATTAGTCTGTTACCTTGGGAAGTTTGTCTGTATATTCTTAAATACACAAACCCTTTTCATATGTTGATACATCAAGTAAACATAAATTCAGATGGAGATTCTAACTTGGAAGTGTGATTTCCTCCTCTGAGTTACTTTTTTTATATACGGCTCGGAACAGTGCTGTATTTGTAAAGTAAGTAATTCAGACCGTTGCTACCGTTGCTACCTTTGCAATTTTCTTTTTTTTCTTTTAATATTCCTGAACTCCAAAACAACTTCTATAATCAGCAGCAGGAAATGTAGGTAGCTACAGGGATAATGTACTGGACAGGGTCAAACCATTCAGAAGCCCATGAGACCCCTTCCAGCTGAATGACCCGAAACCTCCTAAAATTTCTCATCTGCTTGCGGATTCCTCTTCTTTGGTGAAATGAGAAAACTTTTTATTTTCATTATAGGAAAAATTATCCTATAATTTACAGAGATAAGGCATTTAAACATAGGGAAGCAGCTTCAGGGGAGTGTGCCCTTTATGTTTTTACCCTTCCATGAGCAACCATAGTTTGATTCGTGACCTGTTTCTGCTTCAGAGTCCCTTTCGTCTGTCTGTGGCGTGAGATTACTGCACCGTCGGCAGAAGCGGATCATTGGTGGGAAAAATTCCTTAAGGTAAAATGTTCTTCAGAGGGGATTTTCCATAAGAAGAAATTACTTATAAACATATACTGTTACAAACCAGGGATGGTCTATTAGTATGTAAGGGGTTTAATGTGTTCATTTTATTTTCTAAACTAAACACAGACTGCACTTGATAATGACACTGTTCTTGGACCTGCGTTTACTTTATATAAACCATGTTCTTCCTATGTCACTGTCCTCTGATGTATGAGATTAGATAATTTAACAGGAGACCAGAACAAAACCTCCTAACTACAAAGATTCATTTAATTTAGAATGAATTTGTTTTAGATTGATTCATCGTAGTATGTTTGTTGAATTTACTATGGAGAGTCAGCCCTTTGTTTATTAACTATTCCTTCACTCTGCTTAAAGGAATAAGTGAGGAGAGAAATCATGCTGCAAGTCACGAAATATAAAAAAGACTCAACTGGTTTCCAAGAGCGTCAGAGATAAGTGTGGTGCACACCAAGTCTAGGAGCAGATCTTCCGAGCTGCTGATGCCAGGCCTGCTCAGACTTGGTGGGGCATCATTCTCAAAGTCGGAAGGGATCTTAAATCTGAGAGGCCCTTTTGTATTTATTCCTTTCCCACCACCTCCAAGCCATGAAAGCCATGGCATTAAGTGCTGCTTTTCTTTTTTCTTTTTTTTGGCCTTACCAATGTTGACGTGTGGCTCATTTTCTTCCTAGGGGTGGCTGGCCATGGCAGGTGTCCCTCCGGCTGAAGTCATCCCACGGAGATGGCAGGCTCCTCTGTGGGGCTACACTCCTGAGCAGCTGCTGGGTCCTTACAGCAGCACATTGCTTCAAGCGGTACGTGTCCGCCTTTCCAAACTGCTCGATTTGCCTTTTATTCAGCAGCCCCTTCCTGTTGTCCCAAGCTTGGGGTGGCAGAGCCAGGCTGTAAGTCTTCCCTGTCAGTGCTGATAGCACTGTGGGGTGAGTCAGGTGACACAGGGTCAAAGAGAGCCCCTCAGGAAGCCACTGGCTACCTGTGGATTTAGGGAGAGAGGAAGAAGGGCCTTTGGAAGGGATGCGGCTGCGTTTGTACTTTCCCAAGGAACATATTTCAAGGTGAAATTGTGTCCCCACAGAGGTAGCAGAGACCTCAGATTATTTAATTATGAATGGTGAGGAATAGGGAGTGCACTTGAAATGTTTTTGATCCTTTGAGTCTTTTTGATTTCTTTCAGATTTCTCTATTTGTACCTTCTAGAAAATCAGGTTGCGTCTACTTTATTCTTGCTTTTATAGTCCTGATTATTTTCACTGTCCCAAACCTTTAAGCAGTTCATTCGGCTGTCTTCCCTATTCAAAGGGAAGGGAAAACAGAAAATCAGTGTTCTGGTCTGGAAAAATATTATTACTGAAGCAAAAAGATAAGTAGAAGGAATTTCATTATATTACTTTAATTTCGTGCTTGAAAATTGTCACAATAAAAAGTTTAAAAAAATAGAACATGTACCACTGTGTTGAAAAAATTTTCCCAGCAAATATTTGTTGTATATTTTTTCTTTCATTGAATCATATAGTGAACACTTGGCCTCATTATCTATTTCCAGTCCATCTATGTAGATTTCGGTCATTCACTTTAACTGCTGCATGAATTCTCCCTCCTTTTGTAAGGCTTATATCCCAGTTGATTTATTCCCCTGTTGATGGATAGTTAGGGAGATTCCATTTTTTTTTGCTATTAAAAAACAATGTTACAGTAAACAACCATGTACGTATCTCATTGGGTGTGTAACTATGAGGACATTTTGCTGGGTCCTAGAGTAGGCGGAGTTCTCTTCCATTTTCTGAGGCTCTACTAATTTGTCCTCTGAAGGAATTCTATCAGTTTATCATAGCAAACTATAACTTCCTTCCTGTTTCTTCACATTCTCACCAGAACGTTCTATTATTTTATTTTATTTTTTGCCTATTTTAGACTTTTTGGTGTCTCTTTACTTGTATTTCTCTAATGTCTTCCTCTTGCATGAATTCTGTGTTCATATTATTTGCCTCTTTTTATGGTATCTCTTTGTAATTTGATTTTTAAAATTTTTGGATATGTTCTCTATGCAGAATCTTTGTTATTGTAGTTACAAATGCCTTTTCCCATTTTTGGCCAAGTCCTCTTTTTTGTTTATGGTCTTTTCTTACAAAAAATATTTAACTGTACCCTCTTTTCTTCAAATTTCTATAAGAGCTTTGCATTTCTTATTTTAAAAATCTTTCCTTGACCCCAAATCAGGAAGATAGTCTCTTCTTTTTCCTCCAGTTTTGATTTTCATTTTTAGATTTTTAATCTGCCGACAGTTTATTTTTGTGTATGATATATGGTGTGAGGAAGGGACCTAATTTTATACTTTTATTCCCATTGGTACTTTCCCCCAGTACTTTGTATTGTATATTCCATTTTTAACCACTGATTTATGTTAACTCTGTTATAAACCAAATTCTCACATATCCTTGTTTGTAGAATCTTTATTTTTTCCAAAACTTATCTATTTCAATAATTAATTCTGCAGTAATCTTTCATATTTAAGTTGCTCATGAGATACAAATCTATATTTTACATAATGTTTGCCATTTCTGGGATATAATTCAGTTTGAGGGTTTACCTATATACTGGCGGTTTAATGAATTCTTGTGTTACATGAGTGGTGTTGATAATAAAGATCCCATTCATTCATTAACTTTAAAATAATTATTGGTCCCAAGAACATGCTAGCCACTAGATATAGTGGAGAATAAGACAGAAGGATTCTTGCTATTGCAGAGTTTACAGTGTTACTATATGAACTCAGAGGAGGGAGACATTGATATAAGTTTAGGGCACCATTTTAAAAATGTGGTCTTTTCATGACAACACAGATTGATCCAGATTCCTGGACCCTGTTCCACATCTCCTGACTTTCTGGAGCTGAGACTCAGGTGTTACACTTTTTTCAATCCTCTCAGGTGATTCTTATGGACAGGAAAGGTTAAGACTCACTTGCTCAGTGGATAGAATACTCTGGGCATGTGAAGAATGTTGAGAGGGAGGAATAAAGTGACACCCTTGTCCTGATCAACATATTCATTATTTGCTAAACTAGAAAAGGACACTGATGATAAGTTAATTATGTTTTCAGATTCCAGGAGAATGGGAGAGACAAATGATATGTTTTGTTGAAAAATAGGATCATGATAGCAAAAGACCTTGGTAGGCTGATTCTAACAAGCAAAA